TGCAGCCTCGACCTGCTGGGCTCAGGCAATCCTTCTGCCTCAGCCTTCCAAGTAGCTGGAACTACAGAGGTGCACCATCATACCCAGCTAATTTTTTGATTTATTGTACAGATAAGGTCTTGCCATGTTGCCCAGGCTGGTCTCAAATCTGCGGGCTCACTCAGTCCTCTTGCCTCCACCTCCCAAAGTGCTGGGATTACAGGCATGAGCCACTGCGCCCAGAAGTCTGGCTCTTAAAGGAAACTCAAAGAGGTCATTTCTTCGGCTCTTGGGCCTTCCTTTGCCTCTCACCAGAAAGAAGGTTCTCTCTGCTGACCTGGCTTCCTGGGCTCTGTAGGCACTTCTGGAGGGATCTTCTCAAGAACTCTCTCTGGGCTCGCAGCCTCTAAGAGGTGTCGAATCTTTGGGGAAAGGATTGGGAACAAAAGATGGGGTTCAGCTTCAGCCCCCTGCTTTCTCACTTTCACAACCTTATTCAGACAATGGATAGTAATCTTTCATGCCTAATTCTGATTGACATCAACATGCAGTAAATCCACACACCATATGGTCTCCTTTCTTCTCGTTTCTACTCTCACCTCCAATTAGCTAGTCTTTGTCAGTTTATCTGTACAAGAAGCACTGCACCCTTATGTCAAGTGTTATGGGGACAGAGGTGAGCAGAAAAGGTTCTTGATTTCAAGGATCGTGTGGTCTAGTGGGAGACAAGTCTGTATGTAAGCCCACCAAGAGTCAAGGCAAAGGAGAAAACAAGACCCTATTAAAGTGCTGCATTTGGTTCTGACTGGGACTGGGATAAAGAATTCATGCAAAAGGGTAGCATTTGAGGCAGGTCTGTAAGGATATGCAGGACTTGACTAGCAGAGAATAAGGGGTGACCATTATGGACTAGGAAAACAGCACAAGCAAAGAAGTGAATGTGACATCCTTGGGGCATAAGGATTAGACTGGTGATTGAGAGCCATGGATGCCCAGGGGAAGTGCAGAGAGAGAAGTCTGGGGATGGCTAGTACTGATCCAGGGCATGGAGAGCTCCAAATTCTAGTATTCTCTTTGTAGTGGGGGTTGAGTGAAGAGCTGGAAGGGGGTGTTGGGAGTAGGTGGAGGACACTGGTAAGGAAACTCAGTGCAGAGAAATGATGAGTGCCTGGATTAAGACCTCCACAGAGAGAACAACGTGGAGACGAGTAGCGACAAGAACCGCCTCCAAGCTGGGTGCAGTGGCTCATGCCTGTAATCCCAGTACTTTGGGAGGCGGAGACAAGAGGAATGCCTGACCCTCAGGGGCTCGAGACCAGCCTGAGCAACATGGCAAGACCTCACCTCTACAATAAATCAAAAAATGAGCCAAGCATGGTGGCACATGCCTGTGATTCCTGCTACTTGGAAGGCTGAGGCGGAAGGATTGCCTGAGCTCAGCTGATGGAGGCTGCGGCAGCTGTGAACTGAATTCCAACCCGGGCGACAAAGTGAGACTTCAATTAAAAAAAAAAAAAAAGCTGCCTCCAGTGGTGAGACCATCCTATCAGACTGGCCCTGAATAGGTAGGTACAGGGAGCTTTTGCCTAGATAGTACAGCTCCCCTAACTTCAGTGTCAATTTGGCACAGGAACAGCACTCCCTTTCTGCATTGTCAACTTATGATTCTAAGGTGTTCTGGGGGAATGAGCCCTACCTGAGGGATATCAAATGGACTAGGAAGTCTGGGATCTACAGACATCATCCCAAAAAAGGGGTCTGGAGCATCTTCCAGGGTCTCCATCATGTCCAGGCAGTTAGGAAGCAGCAGGCTGGGTCTGGGAGAGAATATGCTGTCAAAGAGGATGAGCTCCCCCAAAGGCTGGGTGATCCCAGTTCCAGGGAGACACTCACAGCTCAGGCACAACCATATCGATGCGGATCTGCAGCTGGGCACGGTGCAGGCGCTCCAGGATGTGTTGGATGTCCTCTGTGAGGAGGGAGGGCAAGGTAGAGAGCCAGCTGCAGCAGACTGAAGCTCAGCTCTGCCCCCTACCCCCTTCCGGGGGTTCTCCACCTTACCCACGAGATACTGGCATTGTTGAGAGTAGACCCGGATCACACCGATCTGGAGCTGGGCTGAGAGATAGAGGGAGAAGCGAGGACGTGGCAGGCCAGGCTGCGGGGGTTGCACTCGTACCAGAATGTAATTGAGGATTTCCTCGCTGAGGGAACAAAATGCCTTGATCAACACTGCGCCCAGGACCAGCCCCACAGCTTTGCCCACCCCATCCCCTAGCCCACCTCTGGAACCAGGCCCTCCATCTTTCCTTCTCTGGGCCTTACCAGGTCTTCACTACGTTCACCTTCAGGTATTCGCGCTTCACCAGTCGGCTGCCACGTGTCGCTGCCAGCCTGGAGGAGGTGGGGAAGGTGGGAGGGCGGAGATAGAGGGAGAGGAGTTAGTCTAGGATCCCTAGGACCACCGCCCTCTCACCCCTGCGAGCCTACCGGGCTGGCCCTCACCAGATCGTGGAGAAGCAGCCGGTGTGGCGCTGAAGCACATTGGGGTAGTAGAACATTGTCCCTCCGGCCTTACACCGTTGCCTCCACCACTCAGCCGTTCGGATCTCAACTGGAATTCTTTAGGGCACAGGATTCCCAACTCCCAAGGAGAAGAGTAAGGGTTTTGACAGGCGGCGCGTCAGGTGGACCCAGCTGGAAAGCCAAATAAGCAAGCGGCCAACAATTAGCAGACAAACGATTAAAGGGATAACTAGATAGAGACGCAAGAGTTGGGGCGCCCTTCTACGTGGGCCGAATGGCTCCGCACGCCACGTGGGTGCGTCATACTTGCTGGTGGAACCCAGAGATACGAACTCCAACGGGACGCCAGGGCAGGTCCCAAGGGAGCACGGCGTCCTCCCAAGTCTCGGTCTTCGCCCCCAGGAGTGATGTCTGGCTCTCGGGCCTAGCACTAGTCTGGGCGCCTGCAGTGGCGTCCGGGTCACCCTCCCGCAGGACTAGATCCCGCAGCAGGGAGAGCGCGCGCCAGGGCTCTGCGCCTCACTCACCGTTAGATGGCGGCTTTTTCCAGGAGAGCCCACGAGGAACGGGGGTCAGGTTGGGGGCACCAAGTAGCCTGGGCTCAAGGCAACAGGATCACTCGAGACAGGCAGCAAACCAATGCCAGGACCGTGTGCGCCGCCAGGGGACCATTGTGAGGTGTCCTGACCAATGGGTTCTCGTTCTCGTCTTTAGTAACTGGCGCTTTCCTCTGTCCAATGAGCAAGAAGCAAACCCGAGCCTCCTTCCACCCCCCTCAGTGAGCCTGGTAACAAAGGCGCCTCCTTGGGGGAGGCCGGGTCATGTCGGGGGCAACTGCCCTGACCCTATTGAGTGTGTCACGATGTACTCTGAACGGGGCCTGACCTGCAGTTAGGCCCCGCCCTTCCCCACAAATCCCAGCAAGTCCGACTTTGTTTCCAGCAGGAGACTGTCTTGTACTGGAGTGGAAGAAACAGCGCGGGTTGGCCTTCGAGCCGCCACAGGTCAACGAGGAAGAAGTCAATCTCACACGAAACCGTAAGAGGACTTGCCAGGGTCATTTCCTAAACTCGAACAACTTGGGTTTTGTACACGCCCTGTGTGGTCCTTTTCCAGTTGTGCATGTCCTCCTGGCTGAAATAGACTTTCACTCTGTTGGATGCAGCACGTATTGCTCAGTTTATAAAACCCATTTTTCTCAAACAGTTATTTGTGTAAAATCAAGTAGTATGGTTGTAGTTACAACATTTATTTCACCTAGAATGCTCTTCCCTGCTTTGACCCCAGGGCATGAGTCTTCCTATGATTTAGCTCTTATTGTTACAGGCTCCTTCAATTTGGGATCTTTTAAAATTTGGGTCTTGTGTTTTCAGTGAGTGCCTGGCATCTAGCTCAGTAAATAGTCAGCAAATGAATGTGCAATTGCCTTATATATTTACAACTACAATGTCAAAGCTGAAAGGGATTTAGAGATCTAGTCCAAAATCTGCCTTTACGGATGAGAAAACAGAGGCCGCCCATACAGATTGTTACTCCCAGATCACACAGCTGAGAGCCCGGCTAGGAACTCTGCTCTCTTGATTCCAGTGTTCCCAATCCCTGTTCCACTGTGCTCAGCTAAATTGGTTTCTACATGATGCTTTTTTTTTTTGTTAGAGTCTCACTCTGTCGCCCAGGCTGGAGTGCAGTGCCAGGTTCACAGCCACCGCAGCCTCATCCTGTTGGGCTCTGGTAATCTTTCCACCTCAGCCTTCTAAGTAGCTGCAACTACAGGCATGCGCCATCATACCCAGCTAATTTTTCTTGATTTATTGTAGAGATGAGGTCTCACCAAGTTGCCCAGGCTGGTCTCGAACCTGTGGGCTCAGGCAATCCTCTTACCTCAGCCTTCCAAAGTGCTGGGATGGCCACCATGCCCAGGTCATGGTGCTTTCAAGTTGTTTCAATCAATGCATGTAAGTTGTCAATATTATTTATAAGTGCTCACTTTGGGACACACAGATGATAAGTGGGGACATTTGTCCTGGAGGTGCTTACAAAGTAGTTAAGATGATAAGCAAGGAACATAGAGTAGTCTGTTCATTCATTCAGCTCAACAAGTATCATTTGCCTATGTGCCAAGCAATCCTCTAGGGCACTGGGGATACAGCAAGGAACAAAACAAGTCCCTGTTCTCATAAAGTAGGGAAAGAGATGATAAACAGAGAAATAGAAATACATGAAGTAGCCTGGGCACAGTGGTCATGCCTATAATCCCAGCACTTTGGTTGATAAAGGCCAGGGGATTGTTTTGAGTCCTCCTAGGAATTTGAGACCAGCCTAGGTAACATAGTGAGACCTTGTCTCTACAAAATGTCAAAAAATTAGCTGGGGATGGTGGTGTGTGCCTGTAGTCCCAGCTACTTGGAAGTGCAGTGGCACATGGCCACCGCAGCCTCGACCTGCTGAGCTCAGGTGATCCTTCCGCCTCAGCCTTCCAAGTAACTGGAACTATAGGCATGTGCCACTACGCCCAGCTAATTTTTTGATTTATTGTAGAGATGAGGTCTCACCATGTTGCTGAGGCTGTTTCAAATCCCTGAGCTCAGGCAATCCTCTCATTTCTGCCTTCCAAAGTGCTGGAATTATAGATGTGAACCACCACGCCCAGCTGGGATTTGGGCTTTTACCCTGAATGAGTTGGGAGCCATTGGAGGGTTTTGTGCAGAAGAGTGACAAGATGAGATTTTTGTGGAATGACTTCTACTTTGTTGAGAATAGGCTGAAGGCAGACAAAAATGGAAACAGATGAGAAGGAAGCAGGAGAGAAAGATATGAGAGATCATGGTGGTTTGTTCCAAATTGTTGGTAGTAGAACCAGAGAGAAGTGGTCAGATTCTGGATATATTTTGAAGAAATAACAACAGGATTTGCTGATGAGTTGGATGTGAGGTATGAGAGAAAATGGAAGTCAAGCAGGTAATTTAGACCTTGTACAAAGAAATATCCAGGAGGGATTTCAGCAAATTAAGGGCCCAGCATAGTCTGTATACCTCTTACTCAGTACCTAATTTCTTCACTGCTAGTGCAGAGCATGTTTCAGCTCTTGGCTTCCTGGGAGGATGACAGATAAGACTGAAGGGAAGGGGGGGGTTCCATGGAGGCAGAGAGGTTCAAAGGTGCCACTGAGCCTTGTTGAGTGAGACAGCAAGAGAAGATCCTAGGAGAATTTAGGCATCCAGATTTGATCACGAAGGTGGCCACGGAAGGTTTATAAGAGTGAAATGACAAGAAGTCTGGAAAGCTAATCTGATGTCATATGCAGGAAGGAGGAAATCTGGAGGCTGTGGCAGTCAGCTGAGTGATAACCTGGGTTGGAACTAGTGTGCTGGAGTGAGCATAGAGAAAAGCAGGTGACAAGTGGCCTTGTGAAAGAACTTCCAGTTTGGTGGCAAATGAAAACAGGAGGAAAGGGAGGAGCCAGCAGGCTCAGGTTCAGCAACTCTCCCCTCTGACTTCCCCTCTGCTCTCAGGCTCCAGGGCCTCTAGTTTCAGGTCAACCTCAGTGTCTCCTCTTCATTTAGACCTCCAGTCCACAGCCTAACCACAGGCCCATTGTTGAAGCCCAAATCAGAGGCCTCTAGCAAAGATGTGTAGATCTCAGATTTTCCCATGTGAGGCTAGCAGCTAAAGTGCCCAGCTGTAGGTTCAGTGTCCTGTGGGTGGTTGACCCTAACCCTTTCCCTAATATTGGTGGCCTAGAGGATACCTATTTATAGAGTGCAAAGCCCAGAACGCACAGAGCCTAGGCAGCATTTTAGCCAGAACCTACAGGCGTAGGAGAGGAAAAGGGCATGGAGACACCAGCAGGAAGAGAACCCAAGTGCACTGCTTTTAAGTTTATATCTTGGCCAGACGTAGTGGCACACAACCGTAATCCCAGCACTTTGGGAGGTGGAGGTGGAGGCAAGAAGATTGCCTGAGCCCAGGGGTTTGAGACCAGCTTGGGCAACTTGGTGAGACCTCATCTCTACAATAGATCCAAAAATTAGCCAGGGGTGGTGGTATGTGTCTGTAGTTCTGGCTACTTAAAAGGCTGAGGGTGAAGGATTGCCTGAGCCAGCAGATTGAGGCTGCAGTGGCTGTAAGCGTGCCACTGTACTCCAGCCTAGGCAACAGAGTGAGACTCCAACTCAAAAAAAAAAAGTTAGCCAGGCTTGGTGGCTCAGCCTGTAATCCCACGCCTTTGGGAGGCTGAGGTGAGTAGATTGCCTGAGCCCGCGGGTTCGAGACCCGCCTGGGCGGTGAGACCTCATCTCTACAATAAATAAAAAAATCAGCCGGATGTGGTAGCGCGTGCCTGTAGTTCCAGCTACTCGGAAGGCTGAGGCGGAAGGATTGCCGGAGTCCAGCAGGTCGAGGCTGCGGTGGCCGGGAGCGGCCACTGCACTCCAGTCTGGGCGACAGAGTGAGACTCCAACTCAAAAAAAGAAAAAAAAAAGTTTACATCTCTACCATCCCATGACCCCAGCCACCTTCTTCACCCAGAAAATTAGATACTGATTCCTCTTTCAGTAAAATTTTATTTTAAATCCTTAGTGAAGATCTAAGAGGAAAATATAAAGTGCTTGGGTTTAGAGTTGAAGGGTTGAGGAAGAAGGAAAGGTCCCTTGAGTTCATACCATTTGGAATTTCCCAGTTCCTTAGAAATGAAAGAGGGTATATATCTCAAAATTGAAAAGGAAAAAAGGCTGGGTTCGGTGGCTCAGCCTGTAATCCCAGCACTTTGGGAGGCCAAGGCGAGTGGATTGCCTGAGCCC